TGACACGTGGCAAGCTCCTGTTGGCCTTCGTGAAGGACACGTGGCGGAACCTGGTTGGTCCACTTGTCAGACGGTGATTGGTGGATAAAAATCCCCTAATCACTTAGCATCACTTCCTAAGTTATTTAGTTATTTATCGCATTATATGCTAAATTTTTACCTTAAGGCTAAAAATTGGCAAAATAATGGAATTTATAGTATTTAGTTTCTCCATGACGAACTAATACTATGTTCTCCCAATGCATGATACTATGTTCTCCATGACAATGTAGTACATACCCAATACAAAACATGTCTCAAAGTTGCACAAAAAACAATAGATCGACGCATCATAGCATATTTTACAAGATCTACAACTAACATGTCATCATTCCAAGTGCAAAAGAACAACATGAACAACAAGGAACACCATTTACCACAAGTAGCATAAAAAATGGTGATTTTGCTCAATTCTTCACCAAATCATGCAATTTTTGTCTCAAATCGCTCACAAACACGCATACATACATGTGTAAGAAAATTCATAGCAAGAATTTCAACATAAACCTCAAAATCAAAAAATCCCCAAATTGATTTTTAAGGGTTTTTCATGAAATTACTCATTTGAAGCAAATTCGAGGCAAAATCAAGGGAAACTTACATAGATCCTTGTAGAGAATCGAAAATGAGGAAAGTAGCAAAAAATTAGAGTAGAATTGATGAAGACCTGAGCTCCAAAAGCTCGAAAAACCGTGAAGATCAAAGAAGCCGCTGCGACATGGTCACACTACGTCGCGACTCGGTGAACAAATGATGTGTCACGGGGATAAAATCCCGCGTCACGGTGAGTCCAAGGGTCGCCGGAGCTCCGGTAAACAGCAACAGCAGCGAGCAGCAGCAAAATCTTAGCGAAAAAAAAGAAATGGAAATACGAACCAGCAGCACCGCCGCGCCACGGAAGAGAACTCCGTCTGACGGGAACAAACTCCGAGCGCCGGTGAGTCGCCGCCGAGACACGGAATCCGAGCAGTTTAAAATTTTTTTTTTTGAGTGAAAACAGGACAAGAAAGAGAAATGGTGAGTGAGCAAAATAGGAGAAATGGTTGATATTTAAAGCCAAAAGTAACCGTTGCATGACCCCGTTGCCGTTCCACATTTTCCGTTATCAAGCAACGGTGTTCAGGCGCGTGGAACGAAACACATGGAATTTTTTGTGCCAAAAAATTCCCGCGACACGGGAATTACTCCCGTCTGACGGCAAAACACCACCGTGTCGCGGGATGTGTCCACGTGGCACGGGGTTTAGGCTGTTGTCTTGCACATTTTTCGAAGCTGGCAGCGAATATTCCTGGTATTTTTGACCAAAGCTGCACGATTTTCTGCGAAAATTGGACAGTTAATTTTTCGGTAAAATTACGCGGAAAATTCTAACTGACGGTTGAAAGGTATCAAAATTACCTTTTGCCCCTAAGAAGCGTCAAAATCAATTTTGTCGATATTTCATGCACCTAACATGGTCGGATAATCGACTTGAAGGTGTGAATCATCTGTGGCCCACGTTCGGGGATAATCGAACCATCATACACTTGCAATTCAGCGATTACAGTAGTCGTCGGCTTTCCTCAAGCTTGGAAAGCGTTATCGGTGGATTTTTCTTCAAGTATAGAAAACCGCCAAGTCGGCTTTCCTCAAGCTTGGAAAGCATTATCGGTGGATTTTTCTTCAAGTATAGAAAACCGCCAAGTCGGCTTTCCTCAAGCATGGAAAGCGTTATCGGTGGATTTTTCTTCAAGTATAGAAAACCGCCAAGTCAGCTTTCCTCAAGCATGGAAAGCGTTATCGGTGGATTTTTCTTCAAGCATAGAAAACTGCTAAATTCCTTTGTCGGCTTTCCTCAAGCATGGAAAGCATCATCGATGGATTTCTTCAAGCATAGAATGACACCAAATTCATACGTCGACTTTCTTTAGGCATGGAAAGTATCATCCGGTAGGTTTCTTCAGGCTTAGAAAACTACCAAACTCCTCAGTCGGCTTTCCTCAGGCATGGAAAGCATTTCAACGAACGTTATCCGGTGGATTCCTTCAAGCATAGGAAGTTGCCAAACTCATTTGTCACCGATACACTGGTGTCAGATATGTATTCTATCCTTTTACTCTTTTATCTGTGAAATTAACATTTTTTTGCAGGTATCGGCGTATACGGAGTGATTTAGGATCGCAGAACGTCTTAAATCATTCTCTGTCCCTATCGACTACTTTGACTATCGTTTTCGAAACTGACGTTTCTACAAACTCAGTCAAAGTGGGGGCTTCTGTAGACACCTAAAAATGTCTCCCCAAAACCAAACCCGATGATGAACAACCTTTCACCGCCACTATTGGTCGGGTTCAGTATTTAATCCCGAGAGTGCTTAAAAAATCGTATTTGATTAAATTTGTATTTTTCAACGGTCCATGGATTAGTCTTGATGTTTGGTAAAAGCATAGTTTTAATTTCAGCCCAAACTTATTATTTAATTTCAGCTTAAACCTTTTTTATACTATTGTTTTGTCATTTATTTTTGGCCCAAACCTTTTATTTATTTTATTTGCTTATTTTCTTATTTTAGCCAAAATAATAATAAATCAGAAAAAGGCCCGAAATTATCAATCGACATTTAAAATGCTGAACGAAATTAGGTTTAAAAATGTATTTAGACGGAAAATCGGGCTGAAAATTCCCGCGTCACGGGAATCATTCCCGTCTGACGGTGGGATTTCCCGTGACACGGGAAACCTGCTGTGACACGGGAATTTCCGTGTCCTTTCCGCGTAAACCCTTAACGCGTTTTCTTCCCCGTTAACTAAAAATTTCCCGCGTCACTCAAAAATTGCACCGTGTCACGGGAACTGTTTCGGGGTTTTCTGATGTCCTGCGGGAGAGTTACAATTCCGAGACTGGAACCGGACGCCTGTACCTGCAAAATAACGGAGACTCCTGTGAGCTCCGCCTCCAACGGTCAAGTTAGTACCTGATTAAGGAGTAATTAATGCAGAAATTAAAGTAATAAGGTCTCTCTAGGTGAGAGTGTTTAATGTAGGTAATCTGCTTTGTTAGCGAGATCAGCCGGTTATTAGTGTGTTCCGTAATGTTTTTCGCGTGTTGTTTTCGTCCTCCCCCTTAATGAGGATTAAGGGAGGTATTTATAACCTAGGGCCGATTGGGCTTCCCTCGGAAGTTGGGCCTGGGTGGCCGGTTTCTCCATTAGGCATGGAGTATGCCACATGTCATGACATAACAGGTCCAAGGTGGACGAATAAGCGCGTGCCACGTGGCAAGCCCTGACAGTTCCAACTAGGGGACACTTGGCAGGTCCTGATTGGCCCACGTGGCGCATTCCGATTGGTGGGAGCAAAAATCCCCTAATCAGGAACGTTTCCCGTCTGACAGTGGGACTTCCCGTGTCACGGTACAGTTTGCCGTGTCGTGGGATACTTTTTTAGGGTTTTTATCATTTTAGGGTTCCGTGTGTTCCCTCAACACATTTTCTCTATAAATACCCCCTCATTTCTGATGTACGGAGCATCAATTAATTCTCTATTTTTCTCTCTTCTATGCTTTAGCCTAAACACTAGCCTACCCTTCTTATTTCAAAATTCCTTTTTCAAGTACTCCAAGGAGTCCATTCTTTACTCGTGGTTCTGTCCTTAAGCCAAGGCGTGAAAGGTAGAACTGTTTGAGGGTTTGGCCCCAAATCAACTCTACTTCATTTAATTTAATTTAATTGTTGTTTTATTATTATTTCCTTGAAGTTACTAACTCGTTTATTATTTTGTAGTTGCAAACAAACAGAATCAAAGTAAGATTTATGTTCCTTTTATTTCTATTATTTTTCTAACGATTTTATATTGTTGGAATTATTGTTAAATTGTTTCCAATATTAATGTTTATTATTTTTATTGATCACCATATTGCATGTTTCAAGGGAATATGTAATTGAAAATCACGCCTAATAAGATAATTTGGACAACCGGTTTAGGTTCCTTTTTAATCTTATTGTATAATCAAGTAGCCACAAATATTTTAGAATAATATGTTGCATTAATATTCAACCAATTTAGCCTAATAATAGTTTGGAGCGAATTGAATATTTTGTTTGTATGCCTTTGAGATCGCAGGAATGTTTTTCACTATAAGAATCGAGTAGAGGCCAATACGGGCGAATGTGACTCCATGACTCACTCCGTACCATCATCCCCGATCCTCCTTTTGTGGTTCCGAACCATATGGAGTTAGTAATCTCATGGATTATGAATGGGGTGTAGCCTTCACGGGTCAATCATTGTTGCCTATCGTTGTCCCTTATCATGGTTGCCTTTTTATGATCCGTGAACGGTTTACAAGTTCCTTAAAAACTTGTTGGCGACTCCCTACTTTCCTTGTCCCTAATCGTATATGTCAATTCCCACTTTCTATGAGTGTCAAGCATATTCACACATGCTTTAAACGTAGGAGCACTTCAAACGACGCCTACAACAGGCAAAAAGTTACCCTAAAATTAGCTAAAAGTTACCTTTATACTGCTCGATATACACTAATATTAGTGTAAATCGGATGTATACAAAAAGTTTTGAATTTTTTGAACCCAACGTTCCACAAAAATCCACAAACACCACAATTCTTTGTCTAATCAAACAATAATAATATCATCGAGTACATCCCCGGTTGCATAAGCTTTGACTCTAACGATTCCTTGATCACCAATAATTACACCTAACTATTCACACAATCTTAAACCACCCACTTTCACAATCTAATCCAGCGGTCACAAAACGCCCGGGAAAGCACCATAAACTAACGACTAGTCTTTCCCCACAACCCAAAACTGTGCCGTTTTAGGTTCAAACTTTTTTCTGCCCTTTTTCTTCCCTTTTTCATTTTTTATTTTATTAAATATAATTTGAAAACCGTCAACGTTAACGCCCATTAAATTATAGGGTTTCCGAAAACTTACATACAACTCACAAATCTCTTTCTAACGGCACCAAACGGCAACGTCGGTGATCTTATATTCGTTACGTTTCTCTCATTTGCTTCTTTTCTATTTTTTTGATTTTGATTAGATTGTTTTTTTTTCGTCTTTCTGAAAAAGCCCTTCTCTTTCTCTCTCTACATTCAACGGGCAAACCGCTCTCTTTCTCTCTCTAGAATCTGCTGTTGTTTCCAACGGCAACCTAAAATTTCCTTTTTTGCAATGATTCCCGCCAGTTTTTAAGGTTTGTTTTTATTAATTTGATTTTGAATTATATGCTTTTTTGTATTACAATTTTGATGATTTTTTTTTTCCCCTTGAATTTGATTTTTTGATTGGAATTTAACAAGTTGTGTAATTGATTTTTTTTTTTTTTCGTTTTGTTTTGATGAATTTGTGAATTTCTTGTTAATTTTTGCTTGGTTTGTTGTATTGATCTGATAATTGAAGGTAAGATCCGTGTTTTGTTTATGCTGATTATGTATAGTTAGTTGAGATTCATAGGAATAATTTGATTTTAGGGTTTATGATTTTTATTTGGTGATTTATTTTTTGATGTTTGCCGATTTCATGTGTATTTAATGAGCGTATGTGATTTCATGGCAATTAAGTTGTGATTGTGATTAGGATGTGTGATATAGTGAATTGTATTACAAGTATCCGAGTTGGAGATGGCAGAAGGTGATTTGAAAGCGGAGGAGTGTTGTTTGGAGAACAAACAATCAGCTGCTGCTTCGAGTTCGTCAGTTTCCGAGGAAGAGGGTAGTGCCAGTGTTAGTCTCAAGTCTTCGGGCGTTAGTAGCCCGGTTGCCACTTCGCCTTCTCATAGGTATCGGAAGCTCAACTCTCTCCACTTTTGTGTTTCGTTGACATAACCTCTATGAATTAACTTATATTTGTGTGGTGCCCTATATGCCTAGAGCAATCTGATTCTTTTCAATTTTTTTAATTCTAAAATATTAATACCCAATGTATTAGAGTGAAATTGTGGTGCTTTTTGGTAATCTTGTTCCGAGAAACAACTTTGCAGAAGGTGGAACTTAGTAAATTACAATGTACAATGTTAAGATGTATGCTATCGTGGAGTGGTGGGATGGATGATGCTGAGCTTTATGCTTACTAGTGTATGCAACGGACTACGCTCTCACACAAGTGATTCAAGATAACAAGAAGAAGAAGATAATGGCAGAAGACGATTGATTGGATTGATATAGCCGAAAGGCTTGAGAGTACACTATAACTATGGCTACACTTAACTAATACAACTTTCTGAATGAATCCTCTATTTTCCCCCTCTAGCTATTTAACTATTTCCTTACATAACACATGTGACTAGCCTTAATTACTAACAACTACCACTACTTTGTCTTCTTGCCTTGGTGCCAAAATAAAGCTCCTGATCATTTGTGTCTCCGGCTGTCAATTGTTGTTGTTCTTGTGTGGTGGTTTGCTCGAGTCTTTTTGTTGTTGCTGCAGTGTGCACAATAGGTGGCCTTGATTGGTTCATTACATTACCCCCCCCCCCAAAGAACCACCTTGTCCTCAAGTTGGAAGTCGGGAAAACGATCAAGGATTAAAGTACCATCCTCCCATGTGGCCTCAAGTAAGCCCTGCCACTTCACTAGCACTTCTTGCACAATGGACTTTCCTTGCACCAGCCTGGTTCAACCATCAATTCTAGCTCCGGGGTGATTTGGTCAGGGATGGTAGGGGAACTCGGGTTGCTGCCAATCGCTCTCTTGAGTTGAGATACGTGGAACACTGGATGGATGCGGCAATGGTCTGGTAAACTCAGCTTATACGCCACTTTGCCCACACATTGAATAACCTCGAACGGCCCATAGAAACGAGCCGCAAGTTTCTCAAATGGTCTCTTGCCCAAGAGCGCTGCCTATACGGTTGGAGCTTGAGATATACCAAATCTCCCACATCAAATTGCTCCTCCCGTCGCCTTAAGTCTGCGTTCTTCTTCATGATGTGCTGGGCACGCACCAAGTTCAACTTCAATTCATCCAACATAATGTCTCTCTCGTGCAATAATTCATCCAATGACTCGACTTGAGTAAACCCCGTACCCACCTTAATTAATTTGGGAGGATCCCTGCCATATAAAAATCGAAAAGGTGACATTTAAGTGGAAGAGTGGACAGATGTGTTATATGAGAACTCAGCCCACGGCAGCCATTTCGCCCATGCTTTAGGCTGCTCACAGGCGAAGCATGCAAGGTATGATTCCAATCCCTTGTTGACCACCTCCGTTTGACCGTCACTTTGAGGATGATACGATGTGCTCCTCCGCAAATCAGTCCCCTGTAGTCGAAACAACTCCTTCCAAAAGCTACTAAAAAAGACTCTATCCGAGACAATGCTTCCCGGAAAACCGTGTAAGCGCACCACCTCCTTAACAAAGGCTTCCGCCACTGTTACAGCCGAGAACGGGTGCCTTAACCACACAAGTGTGCGTATTTCGACAACCGATGAACCACCACAAATATGGTGTCGATTCCTTTGGACCGTGGGTGACCCTCAATAAAGTCCATTGTGATATCGTCCCTCACCTTCTCCGGGATGGGTAACGGTTGAAGCAACCCCGCCGGACTCCGCTGCGAGTGTTTGTTTCGCTGGCAAACATCACAGGCTCGAATGTACTCGGCAACATCTCTCCGCATCCCTTGTCAAAACCACTCCCTTGCTACCCGCAAATAAGTCCTCGTTTCTTCACCATGCCCCCCCGCTGAATCGTGGTAAGCCGCCAACAAGGTGGGCTTGACGCTCGAATTTCGAGGTATGACCACTCGCCCCTTATACATCAGGCGCTCCCCTTCCAAAGTGAAACCAAGTGGCGCTCTCCCTTCTCGAACGACCTCCCTAATCGATTGCAAATCGGCATCCCCTTCACTCTCTTTTTTGAGAAATTCCCAATCAACTCCTTGGGTGGTGACTATGGCTGCCAGACTCATCTTCCCCTCTCCTTGATAGTGCATCCGCTACCTGGTTTTCCGATCCGGGTTTGTATTGCAATTCAAAATCGAAGCCGATCAATTTGCGGATCCATTTTTGATACTCCATGGCTACCTCATGCTGTTGTGTAATGTGTCTCAGTGGCGCCACTTTTGCACCGCCAAACAAACCGCCATCAATTCCTTCTCATACACTGATTTTGCTCAGCCACTCGAACCCAACACCTTGCTAAAAAACGCAATTGGCCGGTTGTCTTGCATTAACACTGCCTTAGTCCATATCCTGACGCGTCCATTTCGACCGCAAAGTCTTTGTGTAAATCGGGCATGGCCAAAACAGGAGCCACTGCCATTGCCGATTTGAGCTTCTCAAATGCCTCAAGACCACTTAAAGTTGTCTTTCTTCAACTCATGTGTTAAGGGGTGGGCTATGTGTGCATAATGGGCTATGAATTTCCTATATTACCCTGTCAGGCCCAAAAAACCCCTAAGTTCTCTCAAAGTTTTTGGAATGGGCCAATTGATCATGGATCTCACTTTCTCTTGATCCACAACCACTCCATTTTTTGAGATGATATGGCCTAAATAGGCCACTTCCTCCTTACCAAACTCACATTTTTTCTTGTTTGCAAATAAAACATGCTCTTTCAACGTAGCCAGCACTAGGTGTAAATGCCTAACATGATCATCCTCACTAGAACTATAGACAAGAATATCATCAAAAAACACAAGGACAAATTTTCTCAAGAATGGATGGAATACCTCATTCATTAATGATTGGAAGGTCGCCGACGCATTTGTGAGTTCGAATGGCATCACTAAAAATTCATAGTGACCCTCTTGGGTACGAAACACCGTCTTGTGTGTATCTGCGAGCTTCACCAAAATTTGTTGATAACCGGCTTTGAGGTTAAGCTTGGAAAACACACATGCCCCATGTAATTCATCAAGTGGCTCATCTATCACCGGAATGGGATATTTATCCGGTACGGTTTCTTTGTTGAGGGCCCTATAATCTACACAAAACCTCCAAGAGCCGTCTTTCTTCTTTACCAAGAGGACCGGGCTTGAAAAAGGGCTAGTTGAGGGTTTGATAATTCCGGCCATCAACATCTCACCAATTAGCTTCTCTATTTCATCTTTTTGAATTTGCGGGTATCGATACGGCCTCACACTAACCGGATCACTCCCCTCTTTAAGGACAATGGCATGCTCTCGGCCCCTACTTGGAGGTAGCCCCTTAAGACTCTCAAACACCCCCGCAAACTCTTCAATTTCACCCTTCAAGAATTCCGGAATGGCTTCTCCTTTCTCCTCCTCCATCCCCTCCATTCGGCCAAACTCAACTAGGATGCCCCCCTTTTCCTTACGCAAGCTTCTAATCATTGCCTTTAAGGTGATTCCGGTTTGAGCAAGTGACGGATCACCCTTGATGTGTGCCCTCTTTCCATTCACCGTGAAATTCATCTCTTGAGTTTTCCAATTAGTGAGCACCTCCCCTAGCTTCTCAAGCCATTGAACCCCAAGAATCAAATCGGAATTGCTTAGTTGTAGAGGAAGGAAGTCCTCAACAACTACTACTCCTTCCAACTCAAGTCGCACTCCTACACAAGACCCTCGGCCCTTCACGGTTTCACCATTTCCAAGAGATACTCCAAAAGTTCCACTTCCTACTACCGGTTCAATTTCATGGTTCTAGGATTAGTTATCCCGGCTAACGAGTTCAAGGATACCGTTGCAGGAGTTTCCTTGGTTCCCATTTTGGGGGAGCTTCTAAGGACTCGAACTCGTGATCATTCTCTTCCTCCTCACTCCCCTCCTCATCCACCAACAACACACTAAACTCTTTGGCCCGACACACATGGTTGAAATCCCACTTCCCATCACATTTGAAACATAAACCTCTTGCTTTCTTGTCTTGTATTCATGCTTCGTCAACCTTCGAACTCCTCCATTGAAGCGTGAATAGCTGGCTGTTACTCTGTTTTGGAAACAGAGTTATTTACTGATCCACTTGAACTTTGGGCCCCTTTGCTTGATTGTACACTAGGCTGCAAAACCGACGATTGGGCTGGCCCACTTCCCCTAAAAAGAGTGTTTGCAGGACTCTTGTTGAAGTAAGAATACGGGTTGGGTTTTGTGAAGGCCTCACCCGATTTCTTAAGCCCATGGACCCGGTTCCTTTCTTCAATTCGGGTTGCAAGATCCATGGCCTGTTCCAGCGTGAACGGGTTCAACATTCTCAGCTCCGCCCTTATATCCTCCTTCAACCTATTAACAAACTGCCCTTTCATCAGACTTTGGAAAGCGGTGCGACCTTCTCATTAAACTCCCTCCGATATTCCGCCACCGTGGTGGTGTGTTCAACGGCCAGCCATTACTCATGGAGCGACCCCGCGTTCGTTGGCCGAAACTGAGTGAGTAGGCGCTGCTTCAGATCCTCCCACCCTCGCAGCGGCCACCGGCGATTCTCCCACTGGTACCACCTCAAGCCATCACCCTCCATAGACACCATCGCCGCTTGAAGTTGTTCCTGCTTTGTTAACTGATAGAACTGGAAATATTGTTCTGCCCTCATTAACCAACCGCCGGGGTCGTCGCTGGAGAAGATAGGCATATCCAACTTTCGGAACTTCCAATTCCCCTGACCTCCGAAATTCTCACCACTCTCGAACCCCCTGGACGGCTGGAGTGGTGGCTCCCTGTTATGACCTCCACCGTTCTCCACCCTAAACGACCGCCGTGGAATGCCTCCTCCGGCACCGGAAGCCTCCGCCTCATCCTCAAACGCCACCGGTGCCTTCTGCTTGTCACGGATGGTCTCCACCGCTCCGCGGATCTCCTAGAAAAACTTGTCCCGGTCGCGTCTCACCAAGGCTACTTGTTGGGTGTTGTCTTTCGTGAGTCGGTTGAACCGCCTCAGCGTCCTGCTATTTGGAAAACTGCTCTACTAGGGTCTTTTGGAGATTCTCCATGCTTTCCGTGATGTGGTCAGGATGGCTTGAATGGAGCCTTCTCCTCCACCCACCTTTGACACCACGTCCATCATGTGCCCCAAGGCTTCAATACGCTAGGTGTTTGTTCCTGGCGCCGGAGCCATACCTGCTCTGATACCAAATGCAATGGACTGCGCTCTCACACAAGTGATTCAAGATAACAAGAAGAAGAAGATAATGGTAGAAGATGATTGATTGGATAGATATAGCCGAAAGGCTTGAGCAATGATACAAGGAACGAAATTCGATACGAAACGCGGGACGGAAACGGGAAACGCTACATTGAGTGAATCGGGAACGTTGGGTGTAGTTTAATATATATATATATATATATCTATAAATAATAATCTGAAAAATAAAACTAAAATTAATTTGAAATTAAAACATTGATTTTCATTTCATCCAAAAAACATTCATATTTCCCGTAAAAAAATAGTTAAAACATTAATCACTTGCAAGTTGTCCTTTTCAGTTTTCAAGACTTCAAGTTCCCAATAAGCTAGTGTAATGAGTGGGAGACTTAGAGACTAATGACATTAGTGAAGTTTAGCACAAAAAAATGACATAGTAAAAACTCAGTAAACTAAAAAAAGGTGTAAATAATAACTTTATATGAATATATATTCCTATTTCCTATATTGAGGGCCCCAATATAGTAAGAAGTTCAAAAAGAAGTTTGTCTCATGCGTAATGCCCCCTCAACTTTTTCTTTTTCACTTTATCATCTTCAACAACTGTATCATCTTCAACCTCGCGAACTCGCCTCTTGAGAGTACACTACAACTATGGCTACACTTAATTAATACAACTTTCTGAATGAATCCTCTATTTTCCCCCCTCTAGCTATTTAACTATCTCCTTACGTAACACATGTGACTAGCCTTAATTACTAACAACTACTACTTTGTCTTCTAGCGATTTCTGTTCTAATCATTTGTCTCCTGCTGTCAATTGTTGTTCTTGTTGTCTAGTGGTTTGCTCGAGTCTTTTTGTTGTTGCTGCTTCCTTCTGTAGTAAGTGTGCACAATAGGTGGCCTTGATTGGTTCATTACAGTGTAGAACTTATAAAAGTTGATATTTTGAATATTCATATTTTGAGATGAGTTTAAAAAGTTTCTAAATGACTATAATTTTCCTCCGTATGAATTCAAGATAGTTAAAGTGAACTTGTTAATGGTGCCAAATTTCAAACGGTATCTATTTTATTGAAACAGAGAGAGTATTTTCACAATAATTGTTTTTTGGAAAAGTTGCAAAAAACCACCTTTTTTTTGCAAAAAAACACCTTATAAAAATTTTCTCGTAAAAACAAACCTAAAACCACTCTTTTTTTGCGAAGTGACACCTTAACGCGGTTTTCGGTGTTTGACTTGGTTTTCCGACGTTGACTTTGCACGTGTGGGTCACGTGATCTTCTTCCTTTATTTTTTTCTCTTTTCCCTCATCGCCACCACACTGTCACCCCCACCAACACCACCTCACCACCACCACTCTCACCAACACCATCTCACCCAAAATGCTCCCATGAAAATTGCACCCCGTTTATTCAGCCCATCCACCCAAAAACCCCACTTCACCTCTTCATCCCCTTCCTTCATTAAAGCCCAATAGAGCAAGCACGATTGGTGTACATTGGCCTCTCGAAATTACTCTTAATTTCATCATTTGTGGGCAAAAACGAAGAACCCTAATTTTCAATTACAAACCCTAATTTATGAAAATTCAAAAACCCAACATAATTTACAAGAAATTTCAGTCATTACAACAACTTACCCTACTTGAAATTATGTTAATTGCAACAATTCATGCTTTAAAATGTAGATTTCTTCATCAATGGTGAATAATTGAGATTTTGTTGGAGAAGAAGGGAGGAGAGAGAAAGTTAAATTAGAGAAATAATGGAGGGTGAATTGGGAAAAAAAAAGAAAAGGGAGAACTCACCGGAACACGTGCTTTTCACGTGCAAGTCAATGTCCGAAAACCAAGTCAAAAGATGGAAACCAGACTAAGGTGTGATATCCCAAAAAAAAAAAGCGGTTTTAGGTGTTCTTTTACACAAAATTTTTTATAAGGTGTTTTTTTACAAAAAAGTTATAAAAGGTGGTTTTTTGCAATTTTCCCTTGTTTTTTCATCTTTGAAGGCTAAGGTCTTCTTGGTAACACTTTTTATAGTGGACAATATATAGAGAATATTGTTTGAGTGTAACATTCTCTTTTATCATTTCACATTTTAATGTTCAGTTAAAGAATTGTCTTCAAATCATACTCTATGAATCAAGGGATTAAATTTCATAGTCTAGTGTGTGTAAGCAGTATGCTTTGTGTATGTTCACTTTCTAATGCTTCTTATCATTTTCACCCTTGTGGCACTATCTCTATTTACATGTACAAGTGACTTTTGACTGATTGCATTTATTTATTTATTTAGTTTTATGTAGTCTGATTTGTCAGCAAATTTTTCTTGTAGGAGGACTACAGGACCAATTAGGCGAGCAAAGGGTGGTTGGACACCTGAAGAGGTTAGTATTAAAGATAATATCTCTACCGAAACTTGGATTGTTATTATTTTTTCTTTTTTGAAGGGAAAATTTGCTAATTGCACCCATTTAAAGTTAATATTTTGCAAATTGAAGCCATTTAAAAAAATTACAAATTGCAGCCAAAAAGTTCTTATAGATTGTAAATTGCAGTCCGATTCAACTTTTCATTGATTTACAAGTCGAAAAATATTCGATTAATGTTTTAGGGGTCATTTAAGCTCTTAAGGGTCCGAATTGAGTTCGGAATTAGCAAGAAAATAACTTAAGCGCCTTATTTTTACAGCAAAATATAGTTGCCCACATATCGATACATTTTTATTACGCCAAACGAGGTACTTATGTTATAATTTTGCTAATTCGGAGTTCAATTCGGATCCTTAAGGTCTAAAATAGCCCCTAAAACCTTAACTGAATATTTTTTGGCACGTAAACCAATGAAAAAGTTTAATCGGGCTACGGTTTACAATTACAAGAGCTTTTGGGTTGCAATTTGCATTTTTTTTTCATAAATGGCTACAATTTACAAAATAATAACTTTAAATGGCTACAATTTGCAATTTTTCCTTTTTTAAGCTTAAAAATGTGGGTATATTCACTTTGACTACTCTTCAATTCCCACCACCCTTTTTAAGGATTTTTGTATTGTCATTGTGTCTATTTCTTGCACTCTATTTGCTGGCTAATAAAGGAAAGTGCTATAATGTAGGACGAAACATTACGAAATGCAGTTTCAACTTTCAAAGGAAAGAGTTGGAAAAAAATAGGTTTGTTTTCTTACATGTTTTGTAGTTTGATAATTTCCTCCTTCACTACTGTACTGAAACTGGAGCTCTTTCTTTGGAAATATAAATGGTATGAGTTCAAATTATAGGAAATCTACATAATGTTTGGTTGGTTCTTTGCAAAACTGACTTATGCAGTCCATGCCAAAACAAAAAAAAAACCTGAGTTGACATTGGGTTGCCATATTATAGTGCTCATTTCCTGTCATATGATATGAGGAATAAAAAAACTCAGTGGGAGAGAATCTATTGTCTGCCTCGTGTGATACTAACTGTAATAGACTAACCTGGAGGGGTAGTATAGGTATTCTAGTAATATTAGTTCATTAGGGTTAATAATCCTTAGTATAAATAGGGAGGTAAGGGAAATAAATGGGTAGGCAAATATTGGATGAAACCTCAAGTCACTTTTGAAGAGTTGCGAGCTAAACTCATTTTTGAAGATTGATAGCCTTAAGCTATTATCCTATCCTTTGTAACCTTTCAACCATTATCAATCAAAATCCAAGCTTTAATCTTTACTCCCTCTGTCCCCAGTTTACTTGCAACATTTTGACTGAACACGCTTGCCGATGCACATGTTTGACCGTTGATATCTTTTATTATATATTTATTTAAGTTATAAAAAGTTTATATTAAGTAACTATACATTAAAATAGACTCAACAACATCTTACATGATTACATTGACTTTCATATAATAGTTAAAAAAGATGGTCAAAGGGAGATGTGTGAATAGTGCAAAAAGTCAAACCGTTGCAAGTAATTTAGGACGGAGGGAGTATTTACTTGCATTATTAAATCAGATTATAATCCTAGAAAGTCAATCCATTACATTCGCATACATTTCTAGCAAGAGAGAGCGTGGAATTTCAAATCTGGATGACGAACAAAGAGTCCGATGTGAGCTTGAACTTTCTAAGTTTAGTGGAAAGAATCTGGATACTTTCCAATTTTTACAGTTAGATGAGGAGGTGAAATTGAAGGCTGCCATTATAAGGCTTAGTGGCGAAGCATTGGAGTGGTTTGAATGTGAGCACAGGTGGGTACCGATACGTGAGTGGCTGAAGAAAATAAAAATGGTGCTTGTTATTGCTGGAAGAAGGACATCACAACTTATGGAATATTGAAAATTGGATTACGGAGGGATTTGCATACATTTCCAGCAATAGAGAGCGTGGAATTTCAAATCTGGATGACGAAGGAAGAGTCCGATGTGAGCTTCAACTTTCTGAGTTTTGTGGAAAGAATTTGGATAATTGGGTACTTCAACTAGAGAATGCTTTCCAATTTTTCCAGGTAGATGAGAAGGTGAAATTGAAGGCTGCCATTATAGGGCTTAGTGGCGAAGCATTGGAGTGGTTTGAATTTGAGCACAGGTGGTTAACGATACGTGAGTGCAGGTTCTGGAGAGAGTGTTGGCGAATCGTTTCGGCCCGTCATCTATAACGTCCTGTCATGAGCAACCAATTCCCGTTTTGACACAATCGATCGAAGAGGGAACAAAGGTGCCATCTCAGATATTTTCAAAGGAAGTAGAGGAAATCACGAAGAGAATCAGCATAAATGTTCAACGAGAATTGGACAAAATCACTACCAAAGTCCATTCTCCCATGAAGATGAAGAGAGAAGATTGTCAAGCAAAATCAGAAGACGAAAAAGCGGATGCTATAGAGGAGGAGCAGGTACACACCAAGTTAGAAGATGAAAATGAGATTTTTGTTGGGGGTGTAACTCGTGGTGGCTCCAAAAACTTTAACGGCGAGTTGGGTTGCGAAGTTGGAGGTGTCTCTGGTGGAAGGTTTGGTGATTATGTAGCGGGATTTACCTGAGGTAAAGGTGGCTTCGTCAGCGAATCGGGTGGTGGTGGAACTCATGAGATTGGGGGTGTTTTCGATAGTGCTAGACTGAGTGAGGCTAGTATTTTTTGTGGTGGTTGGTCACTAGGATTATTTGGGAAGGGCAGTGGCGCTGCTAGTGGATTGCCAGAGAAGGATTTAGTGTAGCAAGCAAGGCCAATGACTGCATTAGCTGTTGTGGTGGGTTCACGAGTAAGTTGTCCAGTGTTGGTTTCGGTGGGGGTAACAAAACATTTCGAGCGGTAACTTCTAAACTGTTGGAGGAATTTTCGAGAGAGGTGGCGCTGGAGGAAGTGGATCAGGTGGTGGTCTGAGTTGTTTGCGTTTGGTGAGTGAACAACCGGGAACCCTGACTTGCAAAGTAGAGTTAAAGTGAAGAACAATGATTTTTCTGGTGCAGGTGGTGGTAGCTTGTTCGAAAGTGGGCTGGCTCCCTGTGCGGAACAGAAGGTGGAGAATTCCAAGGGTGGTGGTTATTTGGTAAGTTCCAAAAATCTGACGAAGGAAAGGTGTTGGGTAATTTGGGTGAGTCATGCTTTGGCTTGGAGAGGAAGCCAATAGTGGAAGGTACTACTAGTAAGGGTAGACTTGTAAATGTGGGAGCTGATTACATGCTGATAAAGTGTTGACCCCTTAGTTTTAAAAGGCGCAAATGGTCCTTGCGTCCTAGGAGCGAGGCGCAAGGCGAAGGCGCACGCCTTTTGTATCCAAGACGCATGTATTTACATATTTATTTCAAATTATTTTTTACTTTGATTGTACTAAATACCAATTAAAAAGATTCATTATAAATCAAATAATAATATATGTAAAGCTAAGGTAGTGTAAATTTAAAAAAGTGTCCGTCATTCTTCAATTTATAACTTATATCTTAGTTATTTTTCTTGAGGCGCGAAGGCGCACATTACCAAAGGCGCTTTGAGGCGCACAAGGCGCGCGCCTTCCGTAGGTGACCTCGCCTAGCTAAAGCCCATTTCTTAGAGCCTGGGAGTGAAGCGCACCTAGGCGCGCTTTTTAAAACCAAGGTTGACCCTATAGGAGTAGTTAGACCACATGATATCTTCTGGAAGATGAATTCAGATTATGTTGTTAAGGGTATTATTGTTATTTGTGTATTAGAAGACAAAACAAATACAAGTTCAGAGATAAGCTCAAGGGCAACGTGTCTACAATCTTCTTCCTATACCCTTAATGAGTCTAGCAGCCATTTCTTTTATGAAGACAAACCCTTAATTGGGCTCATACAACAAGACCCATTACCCTATTCCATGCTCCAAAGCCCAACATCTCTACCCCAAAATCATTTTTATTATCCAACACCCTTTATAAACTAAACCCATCTTTAAAGCCAATCATTTCTTATTTCCTAATCTTACTTCAGGCACAAAAGTTTGGGCCCAAGATTTATGACTATATTTCTAAGTCCAATCTTGCTATATACTTTAACCTAGATTATCCCACCCTCCAACTCCCAACATCTCCCATTCACACTTCCTGTTTCACCACTGACTTCATCCTAATTCCTATTACTTCCCTTGACAAGCTGCTGCGTTTTTCTGCCATGTTTAGGCTCCTAGAGGGAGTACTAACTCCCAGCAAGGAACAACATTCCTCAATGCAGTCCACCCTTTATTTTCGCCTACTCCTGGAACAGTGATAACAGTTGTCGAGGCCGGAAATCGCATGCCGTCTATTATCCACCTTGAGGACAAGGTGAAAGTTTAGGGGGCCGGTATTGTATTACATTAACCATAAAGAATGGTAATATTGGTAGTCTAGTATTATTAGGTTAGAGTCTTTAGCTTCAGTATAAATAGATAAGACGAGAGACACTAGAGGGTAGGCAGAAATTTGGTGTAGTCCTTAAGAGTTGTGACCTAAAGTCACTAATGGAGCTTCTACTACTATCGTTTGTACGAAACTGTTTAGTGTAATGAACTAATATTACTTGATATAATAACGGAGAAAACACAATAATTTGATTAAACAAATTAATGGTTTCGTACTGTAAACACAAATTTTAAATCTGTAAAATATAGATTCAAAATAAATGAAACAAAACGTTGATTTTATTAATTTGATAATTTTGGGTACAATCTCTAATTTGCTCCTCTGATTCGATCTCCAGTTTGACTTTGACGTAATTCACAAATTGACTTGATTTTCGAACAAGGGCCGTCGAGGCTGATCTCGATCGAAGATTTGATGCAGAACTTTGACTTATGTTGATGTATGTAGACCTTTGACTTGAACTCTTGATTGAGGGCCGACGAGGCTTGATCTCGATCAATGACTATTTGATGTAGAGGTTGAACGGGTGTTCTTGATGATTTGAATTCCTTCTTTCCTTCGTGTTAAGGGCCGTTGAGGCTTGATCTCTTCCACGGATGATCTTCTAGAGTAGAACGGCACGTCGAATGCTTGTTGTTCTTCTAGGTTTGAGAGGTTTGTCCGGAGAGGTTTAGAGTATTTGATGAGAGGTTTTCTTTGGAGAAGTTTAGAGTATTTGAGAGGCTTTCTCTGTATTTTGATCTCCTTGTTTACTCATAGGTTTTTTCCTCTCTAGGTTTCTCTCTAAGTTTTTCTCTTCCTCCCATGAAGTAGAGAAAAAAGCTCTATTTATAGAGTAAGACACCCCTAGGGTTAGGGTTTGATGATGTGCAATGAAGTTGGGCTTTTGACTTGGTAATCTTCACTCATTTATATAGCTTAACCCATTTAAGTAGGCTTTTGCTATTAAATGAACAATTTAATTAAAACAATTAAAATGGGCTAATTTAACTTATTTCACCCCAATTAATTAAATTTAATTAATTGTCAAAATCCGAGTCAATATTATGACTTTTGACCATTTCAATATCCCATGTGGCACTTATTTACATTTTTCATGCCTACACGTACAAACGATAGTAGTAGGTTTAGCCTACAAAGCTCCATTAGTGACTTAAGGTCACAACCCTCCTAAGGACTACACCAAATTTCTGCGTATCCTCTACTGTCTCTCCTCTTATCTATTTATATTAAAGCTAAAGATTCTAACCTAATAATACTAGACTACCAATATTACTCTTCCTTATGTTAGTAGTGTAATGGACTGACTTTCTAGGATTATAATCTGATTTAATAATGCATGTAAATAAAGATTAAAGCTTGGATTTTGATTGATAATGGTTGAAAGGTTACAAAGGATAGGATAATAGCTTAAGGCTATCAATCTTCAATTGTAAGTTTAGCTCAACTCTCCAAAAGTGACTTAAGGTCACAACTCTCAACAAGTTTCATTCAATATTTGCCTACCCATTTCTTTCCCTTACCTCCCTATTTTATACTAAGGACTACTAACCCTAATAAACTAATATTACCAGAATACCTATACTACCCCTCCAAGTTAGTTTATTACAATACCGGCCCCCTAAACTTCCACCTTGTCCTCAAGGTGGATAGTATTTTGCACTGAATTTCCGGCCTCGGCAACATTGGCGCTTGTTCCAACTCTTGAAAAAGCCAACAGTGAGAATGAGTTATGAGTTGCTGTGAGAGTTGTTGTTCATTGTTGAAGGTTAGTACTCTTAACATGGCATAAGGAATTGAAAAATGCTGTAGCTTGTCAGGTAGGATAATTGAATTATGAGAAGAGCAAGTGGTGTCTACATAGAATCAAGAAGTGTAGAAATAAGGATTACTGGCAATGCTGATTTTAGGAAATAGAAGGTAAATGGGTTTTAACAAAGGATGGTGGTTGGAAGTAAGGATTGCTGGGTAATGTTGGGCTTGGGGCCATGAATCAGGAAATTGGGCCATGTTGCAATGGGCCCAAATAAAAACCTGACTTAAAAAAAATGATAGATTCATTTCCAACGCACAGTAAGCAATCTACCCTTACTAGTACCTTCTATGTTTGGCTTCCTCCACAAGCCAAAGAAAATTTCAGTCAAACTTCTCCAGAGAAGTCACCACCCCTTTTTGCAAGCCAATGGTGGCGGTGAATTTGTTCCTTGACAGACCCCAATTAGTATTATATACTCCTGGAGTACAATGGATCATGGTACTCCTTACAAATATGTTTGAGTTATTTTGCGCACACTTTTTGTTATTTTGCTTAAATGTTGCGTTATTTACTTATTTTGTTACAACAATATGTTATTTACTTATTTACTTCAACCTCCATTCATGCTATTTTTAATTTCCAAAATAACAAGTACTTATTTATAAATAACATGTATATAAATTGAAATAATAATAAGTTTTACATCAAAACAACATTAGCAGCTTTGAGTTTAAAGAGAATCGAACACTTCAAGAGGTACTAAATTTCTTTACATGAACACATTTGAACCCTTAAATGGCTTCAAATCAATTAATTTCTAAGAAACCCAGAAAATTGGAAGAAGAAAAGAGGAGAGAGAAAGTGTCTTTGATTTAGAATTGGAGTAGTGAGAGGAAGAGAGAGAGAGTGAGAGGTTGATTTTTGGGAAACCCAGAAAATTGGATGAAGAAGGGAAGAGAATGTGTGTGATTTTGAGTTGGAGTAGCTGAGAGAGGAAGAGAGAGTATGGGAGGAAGTCAGGAAGATGACCAAGAAAAAAGGCAAAATAACATACATTTATTTAAAAATAACATATATATAAATTGAAATAATAAGAAGTTAATATCAAAATAACATGAATTTATAAAATCTGGAGTACCATTTGCACGGTACTCCAGGAGTAAGATAGAAAATGCGGACAGACCCACCTTGACTTGCGCCGCTTCTCCCACCACCTTGCCGGCACACTTCACCATCTTCTCCGGCGGACCTACCAGGACCACTGCCGGATCCGCTTCCGTCGACGCCGCCATTTTTAAAAACCTTCTGTCCTACCTCCGTCGAACACACCAGCCTTTCCTCTCCGTTCGATAAAAGGAACACCTTCAAATTCACTTGTCCCACTTCCAAAATCGCAGGCAAAGTTGTCTTGACCTCCCTTCATGAAAATTCTCCCACCACTTTAGAGGTTGTCTGCTGGCTTTCCTGGCCCACCAAAACCCCCCTGTAAAACCACTTTCAAAAGTGGTCACTTTTCCACCCAAATCATTGGGGAAGCCACTTTAAGAAATTATTGCTCCACCAGCAACACAGTTAGCTTAGCACTGGCAGGGCATACCCACCAACACCTCCACCCGATACACTAGTGAAGCCACCTCGACCTCCACCGGTAAAACCCGCTCCGTAATCACCAAGCCTTCCATCAGGTTTAATTTTTCTTGCGACACCTCTAACTCCACAACCCAACTCGCCGTTTATGTTATCGAAGCCACCACGAGTTACACCCCCAACAAAAAACTCCGTTTTCATCTTCTGACATGGAGTGTACCTTCTCCTCCTCTTCCTTATCTGCAATCTCCTCTTCTGATTTTGCTTGATAGTCTTCTTCCTTCATCTTCATTGGAGAAGAGGCTTTGTTAGTGATTTTGCCCAAATCCTTCAGAACATTTCCGATGATTCTCTTTTTGATTTCCTCTACCTCCTTTGAAAATATCTGAGATGGCACCTTTGTTTCCTCTTCGATTGATTGTTTCAAAATTGGAGTTGGTTGCTCCTGCCAGGACATTATAGATGATGAGCCGAAACGACTCACCAACACTCCCTTCAGAACCTGTCACTCAAGTATTGGTAGCCACCTTCAAACCACTGCAACGCTTTGCCATTAAGACCTGTTATGGCAGCCTTAAGTTTCACCTCTTCACTTAAGTGAAAAAAAATGAAAGAAACCTTCCATTTAAAGGATCCAATCATCCAAGTTTCTTCCATTGAACTCATGAATCTGAAGCTCTAGACGAATGTTTTGCTTTTCCTCAGAATCTGAAATTCCATGTTCTCTCTTGCTGGAAATGTATGCATACTCTTCACAGATCCATCTATGCATCCGTTGTGCTATACTTTTCTCGGCTGACTCAAAGATCATTGCTGACTTTTTTTTTGTTTAATGAAACGAAAATCAGCAGACTTCCCAGCACTACTCTGATACCAAGTGTAATGGATTGACTTTCTAGGATTATAATCTGAATTAATAATGCAAGTAAATAAAGATTAAAGCTTGGATTTTGATTGATAATGGTTGAAAGGTTACAAAGGATAGGATAATAGCTTAAGGCTATCAATCTTCAAAAGTGAGTTTAGCTCACAACTCTCCAAAAGTGACTTGAGGTTTCATCCTATATATTCCTACCCATTTCTTTCCCTTACCACCCTATTTAATACTAAGGACTATTAACCCTATTACTAGAATACCTATACTACCCCTCCAGGTTAGTCTATTACACAAACCACCACCTCCACCCTAATTTTTATGTCCACAACCCCACCTTAGACCGTAAAAAGAAGTTTCATAGTTTAATTGAACTACACAATATAGTGGAAAATTTCCAATTCATAGTTCACATCATGATGTTTGCAGAGTGCAATAGAAATAGAAAACCTGCCAAGGTGCCATAGTATGCGACATATTTACCGGTATGAGGTTTAGAATTTTTTTATATGCCAAGGTGCTTCTTTGAGGTGGATGAAGGGGGGGGGGTGTTCTTATTTACTTGTGTCACACATCATCATTTTCTTGTTTATACAAAAAATGAGCAAATGTATGCCATTGTGGAGAATTTACAAGGTTAAACAAAATATTGTTGTTCATTTTAATCAACTCCAAATTGCATTTGAATTGTAAAATTCAACTCTCATGGCCAATTAAGAGTCTTTTTAAGCATCAAGAAATTTGCAATGTTGATAATTTCTCTATTGTCAATTTTTAATTGCATAAAACTATAGAATTGCTTTATCCATTCTTAGTGTTAGTCTTCAGTTTTGACGTGTATAGGTTAATAGATGAAATTAGTCAGATAATGGAAGTTTATGTGGAATTAATGCATTTCATTGATATATGCTACAATGTTCAAATATGCAGCCGAGTTCTTCCCAGATAGATCTGAAGTACAATGTCTGCACAGATGGCAGAAAGTTCTTAATCCTGAGCTTGTTAAAGGACCATGGACTCAAGAGGTCAGATGTCACCTTATCATTTATAATGCTTATTAGGGTTCTTATAAGTATTGTATTGCTCTTTTTAAATTGTACGAGGATAAAATAATTTTTTAATGTTTGTTGGGATTCTTATAAGTATTGCTGTACCCTTTTTTAATTGCAGGAGGATGAAATAATTATTAAGTTAGTGGCAAGATATGGCCCTACAAAGTGGTCTGTGATTGCCAAGTCTTTACCTGGGCGTATTGGAAAGCAATGCCGAGAACGGTAAGCTTACAAACAAACTATACAAAGTGATCCATTTATGAATTGTTGTGATGTTGGAGGCAGAAAAATGTATAACTGAATTCATATTCAGCAACACCCCCTTCATCCAACATAAACTTGGGTGATACTTGTGACCATTGGATCAACCGTTAATGCTCATTTGCTGGGCTTCCCAAAACTTTCGAAATGCTAAAAGAATAAACAAACATGGTGATTTACAAAGTTTGCTGTAGGACAAACTCTAGGTTTAGCATCTCAAGGATTATTTCACCGTTAGATACTCATTTCTTTTATCAATTACTAGAATGTATTCGTAAATGCAAGGGATATACTTTATGGAAAAATACAACATAGAAAGACGGTTACTTCTTTGTTAATTTGGAAAGTTTAGAATAGTTAGTTATTGTTAGAAAAAAAAACCTAAATCATAAATTATATTGCATAGAAATTGAGGATTGCTTTTGAAGGTTGTGGTTGAAAGTTGACAAAAGACATATTTTTTTACATAATGTAAATTACCTATGTATTTCTCCCACTATCTAGCAAATAGGTTAGACGGTTAGTTATAATTCCTTTTATTTTATTAATTTATTAAGTAAGTTGCATTTGAAAAGTTATTTAGGCAGGGATGAATGGTCCTTCCCAGAGATTTTAATTAGAGCATAGAATAGATAGATGTGTAAACATTCCTCTTACTTTTTTTTCTTCTTTTTTGAATAAAGGTCAACCTTAAAAATAGGCCAAAATAATGCAAAATTGTATTTATATCTCAAAAGCAATTCAAATTTTTTGTGGCCAAACTAAAATGTTTCTTTAAAACCGTATAAGCTAGCTTAAAGAGTAGAGGAGCCTATAAATATATATTGGTCCTACGCCCATAGCCTGAAATTTGAATCTCGTGTGAAGATTATAACAATTTACAACTTTCTAGATTTCATAGCTAATACCATAGGATGTTAGCTTTAGAAGTTTATTCCCTTTATTGTGCCCAATTAGTAGGACTTATAATTTTAGATGGATTGAAGTGTGGTTGTCAATTGCTATTTTAATATAAAAGTAGATGTGATGAGAGGTAGTAGTATTATTTTTAATTAAATGAAACTGTGACCTTAAGTTCTAGGGGTGGGAAGTGAGTTAGTGGCACCGAAATGTTCTCATGGGGCCTTAAATAGACGGATGTTTCTACAACGGTCGTTTAAAATATGACTACCTTATTATTTTTACGATAAACAATATGAGCGATCCATTTTTTCACGCTATAAATTGGACACAATTAGTTTTCTAATTTCCATAGTACAAATATAATTTTTGAAAATTTTAATCTAACATAAAATAAGTATTTATCGAGAAACTACAAAAATAAGAGTAAAAATTACATAAATAAAACTAAAAATTTGATAAATTAAAAAAATGTTGATAATAATATTTTATAGCAAAATTAGAGTAATATAATTAATTAGTTGGATAAAAATATGTTAATTATGAACTATATAATCATTAAAATATTATGATAGTCATATTTCAAACGACCACTATAGAATTTTCATAAATAGACGTATATTAAGTTATATTTGACTCTCGTTGGAATTGGATGGTAATTTCACAACATCAAACATAGATAGGAGCGTGGCCTTGGACTTAGGAAGTCAATATATGAGTCACATGTTAATTTGAGGTCGTTAGACCGATGTAATCTCTTTCCCTCCTTGAAGTTGGGTTTAGGGCATTGGTTTTCTCAAGAGTCATATATCACTTTTCTGTTGTTGTCCTTTCCCTTTTCGTGGTCGGTGAATTGGTGTTTTATTTATTCGTAGGTGGCACAATCATTTGAATCCAGATATAAAGAAGGATGCTTGGACATTGGATGAAGAACTAGCTCTTATGAATGCACATCGTATATATGGGAACAAATGGGCTGAAATAGCCAAGTATTTACCTGGAAGGTGAGTAAAGATTTTTGCTTGATTTAAAGGTGACTTTTATATACATAACTTTGAGTGTTTATTGAGTAATTGGAATGGTTCTTTATCTGAACTTCTGAGGTACTTAATTTGCAGTAAGTGTCATTTTCGTCTTTTGATGTCATTTTTTACTTTTATTCATTCTATTTCTGACAAAAATTGGAGGTCATATTCCAATTTCAAAAGCAGATACAACACTTAGGCCTGAAGCTAATTTTGATTTATTTTTGCTAAAATTATTATTATTATTATTATTATTATTATTATTGTTATTATTGTTATTGTTATCATTATTAATTATTATCATTATCATTTTTTACTGGTTAAAACCGAGTTTTACAGAAATTAACTTATTATTGTTGAACTTTACTTATTTTACTGTACTTGGTCTTATTTTACTGAACTTATCTTATTTTTGGTTAACTTAACTTGTTTTTACTAAGTATTACTTCCTCCATTCCCCTACTATTGCAACAATTACCAATTTAAGATGTTTAACAAATATTGCAACATTACCATATTTGTACATGCTTCTCTCTATCTCTCTCTTCATCACATGAGTCCCTATCCAGAAATAGGTTGATTCCTTGAAAAAGATTGTACAATTTTGTTTGGTCGACTGAATTGGAATTTTATAAACTGTATTTTCATTTTGACATTTTGAGTTGCCTGTAACATCATATTTCTGCTGTTTCTTTGTATAGGACCGATAATGCAATAAAAAATCACTGGAACAGTTCCTTGAAGAAGAAGCTAGATTTTTATTTGGCCACTGGTAAACTCCCACCTGTTGCAAAGAATAATCTCCAAAATAATGCAAGGGATGTAGAAATACCCACTTCCAATGAGAAATTGATGGTTGGTTCAAATAAGGAATCCGATTCATCTGCTCAGACTTCTTCAGGTGCTACAGACCATGTACCAGAAGACACAAATATTAAGTTGAATATGGCTAGTAATCTTCAAGAAATGGGTCCATCCAGCTGTCCTGCTGATGAGACTGCTGACTCTGATGTTGTGGAGCGATCATCTTATATAGACTTCAGTTGTAAAAATATACACTCTTTACCATTACCATCACTTGATAAATGCAGGAGTGTTGATGTGCTTGGTCAAAACGAAGATGCTGCTACTCCTCTTCACCCAGTAAATCCAACTTATGGGTCACTGTACTATAAACCACCACAGTGTGAAACTTGTAGTCCATCAGAATCAAACTTGACCAACAGTTGCACACAATCTGATTGCAGCCCAGCACCACTCACATCTCGCACAGGCTTCTTCACTCCACCTAGTGTGAAGAGCAATGGTGTTTCTGCTCATAGCCCAGAATCTATATTGAAAATTGCAGCTATGACATTTCCTAATACTCCTTCCATAATGAGAAAGAGAAAGGTACAATATCAAACCCCTCAAACCCTAAAGAATGGAAAATGTGAAGAAGCTTCCTGCAAAGATAGGTGCTCATCTTCAATTGAGCAGCAAAGTGCAATACATCAATCTATGAATCAGGATGGAAGCTTGGTTCCCACTCCTCCATCTCATTCCTCTGTTGTGAATGAATTTTGCAATGGAAAGCCTTTTAATGCATCTCCGCCATATCGGTTAAGAACAAAACGCACAGCTATAATCAAGTCTGTGGAGAAACAGCTGGAATTCACATTGGACAAAGAGAAAGAAGGTGACACGAAATCGTTAGAATTGCAGTTCAGGGGCAACTCTCCTCTCAGGGAAGGAATGTCGTATACAAAGATGGGGATAACCTAGTGTTTGGTAAGTGTTCTTTACCAAAGTTTAATTACCACACAAATTAATGTAAAAAGTCTTTAGCACATTCTTTTATTTCCATCCTTTGGGCTATATTTCATTCTTCGTACTCTATATGGTGGAAAATCATGATTTTGTGGTCTTACCTGATCAAAGCTCAAATTTATGGCAAGCTTGAAGTGTTAATATTCGACAGTGTTGGTTGTGCAGCTTTTTGAACCCTTAAATATTTTTCTTACATTTTCTTTTTATTTTTTAATTTTTTATTTAATTTTTTTTATTGATTAAATATTTTTTATTTCTTGAATTGAACTAAGCTATTTCAAAGGAAGTTAGCTTTTAGTGGTTTTTCGATAGAAATAGCAGAAAAGGCAAGATGGAACAGGGGGATGGAGGGGAAGATTATAATAGTGGCCATGTGGCATCACTTGAGAAGATATAATGGTTATAATTTTCACCTCTTGATAAACCAAATAGAAAATAATTGGGAGATTTATAGATGGTGTGGGTGGTTATCATACATTAAGCATTGTTCAATACTGTATATGATTTGATTGTCCCCAAGTCTTTTGGTGTGGGATAAGTGTGTTCAAAATGCAAATTATTGCATTGATCTTCTGGTGGTCAATTTTTCTGTTATTTGTCTGTTACTGGCTACTGTATATATTGTGGTGTAATGGACGTATAACTTCTGTGAAAATACTGTTTGCATACATTTCAGGTATAGAAATCGAAGAGAGCATCATAGCTGGATGAGCCTTCTCTTAGAAAATTAGGAGATGATATTTTGTTAATCAAGGGTCGAAGAACAGAGAGGATCAGGCATATTTGAGGGAACCACGCTTTGTAAACAAGATGATTTGCACAGGAGTTGTGTACATTAAAGCCGATATATCAGCTAACAACAATGGCTCAATTTTTTTTATACCAATAGGCGTTTCCAAAGCTAAAAGTGACTCAGTGTCCATGGAATTTGTTGTTGGTTTGTATCTCATTATTTTGTTGGTGATTATCGTCGAAAACATTGATCCAAGATGATAAATGCTTTCAACAACTTAGGCTGTATTCGTACTCACTAATAGGCACTTAATACTAACATTTAGGTCAAAAATTTAGATTGGATACCAAAGTACTATAGAAATAATTGAAAAGCCTAACTTATCATTTTTTCTTTTAGAACATTTAATAAATTGAACGTCAATGTAATTGGTCCATAACTACGCTTATTTGCTCTTTTTATAAATAAAATTAAAAAGAAAAAAATTGTCATTTATTAACCTTTTTTACATTGCACTTGCACTTTTTTTTTTTAATTATTTATTTATTTCCTTCTGGTGCTGATGTGGGGCTAGGTCCCTTTTGCACTTCCTAACCTTAAATTAAAATTTGGTAATGCTAATTTAGGTCTACCTTGTAATAGTTTTTAGGCCCGCATGATGGCCTGAGATACTACATTATTTTCATGATTGAAATTCTTATTAATCTAATTTGGATATAATGTCAAGTAATAAGCTAATAGCTAAGTGGTTAATATGTTAAGAGTTTAAGCTCATGATTATGAGTTCAAAAAGATTTACTTCCTCCATTTTTATTTTATTGCACCATTATGACTTTTACACTATTCACTTAATGTTCTTTGACCATTATTTGTGATTTATCCATTAGAAAAAATATAGTCATGAGAGATCTAGTTACATTCGTCTTGAAATCTTCTTTTTAAATATCAAATTTTTATAATTTTTACAAAAGTATAATTGAAAATATTAACAGCTAAAGTAATACATTGACAAGCGTGAAATCCCTTATGGTGCAATAAAAAAAGAACGGAGGAAGTATATTTTTGAACATATGGAATGAAAAACTTAATTAAATGAGGTGAGAGCCACGTGACACCTAAACTTGTTTAATAACACCTTTTAATAGAATTTAATGTTTACTTGAAGGGGTGTAAATAAATTCTAATAAACGTTGATGTTATGTTAGTGATTAAGTAAAAAAATCTCTTTTCAAAAAAAAAAAAAAAAAAAAAAAAAAAAACTCTTTTCATAAATTTGTCTTGTTAAATCTCATGTAATGCACTGATGTCAAATAATAACATTTTGGTCATGTGTTTTAATTTTTTGGTAATTTTTGTAATAAAATACATATGCATGGTCCCATTTTTCACCATTTCTTTGATTTCATACCTACAAAAAGTGAGTAAGACTTTTAAAAATGGAGGTAATAATTAATCACCAAAAATTATTTACATCAAATATACAAGATGTCAACTACCAAAAGAACAACAAAATCCAAAACAAATCAGCCTATATTGTTTCTAAGCATTGCCAACTAGCTTAAGCCCTCCAACTTCCACTTGCAATTCTTCACATGAGATAATCACCAACAAATTTCCTTCTTAAGACTTTTACATATATACTCTTTGGACCATACCGCCTGTTGCCAAAGAGTCTTGTTTCCGAGCATACCACCTGGTGCCAAAGAGCCTTGTTTCCGAGCATACTGCCTGGTGCCAAAGAACAGCCGAAGGCCCTAAGCCATCTGTTTCCAAGCATCTCTTTTATGCTTTCTGTACCAAGTCTTCCAGCAGTAACCAATAGAAACATTTCCTGAATTATGAATGCCTATCTAATAACAAATATTAACAATCCGGACAAGAAAAGAAAATGTGCAAGCAACACTCTCACTTATGCTAAACATGTGAAGTCTTTCTTGAGTCTTCAGTTTGCCTAAAAATAGCAAGCCATGATATAAACGACTGCTTAGGTGTAGTATATATTCCATTTAACTTTCTCACCACCTTCAACCATTTGTAGCAGACACACCACTTGTTTTGAACAAAGCCTGTTTGCAGCCCATCTTTCATTTTACACACATTTTTCCGCCTCCAGGCAGTAGCTTTGGGAGGGTGGTGGCTTCACCAATCAGCATCACGGAGATAGACACTATGCACCCAAAGAGTCAGCCTTCATTGAAACCTGCCAGAACATTTTACAGGGTCTTGAGCTAGTTTGTGCATTTCAAACTGTTACAGTTCGTTGATTCCAAACCTTTCTTTGTCCCAATCCCAAGACCATTTTCCAGGAATCTAGGAATGAACCATTTGACTATCAAAAAAAAAAAAAAAAAAAAAAAAAAGGAATGACCCATTTGGAGCTACATGCTAGAACGTCTTTCCAATCCAAACAATACTACAACTACTATGTAAACCATGAAGCTGTGAAACAAAAACACAACAAAAAACCTTTCCTTTAGTAATGGATTAGAATATAAAAAATACAACTTAACGTACACGAGTCGTAGTACTTGTAACAACAAACATTTATTTGCTCTTTACTAGACATGATAAATATTACAAGTATTTAGAAAGGAAGGTTATTATGATTATAAATTAGGAAATTTTGTCAGATAACACCTTTTAAAACCAAATTGTTGTGAAAAAACACCTTATAAAATTTATCTTGTTAAAACACACCTAATATCAGATTTTTTTTTGCGAAAACACACCTTAGGGCAGTTTTAGGGGAATTGACTCGGTTTTCCGAGGTTGACCATCACGTGAAGGTCACGTGCCGACACCCTCCCTTTCTTTTTCCCCCTTTTTTCTCCAATTACTTTCTCTCTCCTCAAGACTACCTAACCACAACCTAGCCAACCCAGCCGCCGACATCAACACCACTGCCTAGCCAACCCAACCGCCGACACCACCATCCACCAACCTAGCCGCCTTCACCAGCTACCCAAATCATTATAAACCCACCACGTACACCATACATCACCTTCAAAAACCACTAGACCCACCATGAAAACTACCCAAAAAAACCCTAAGCATTCCCATAAAACACCCCTAACCACCTCATAAACAACCTCAAACATTCAAGAAGAGACACTTCTTGATAGGAAGCAAATACAATAGTTAGTGAGCTTACTAGCTTACCGCACAGTTAGGGTGTCGTCCACCCCCTATATAAAGAGCAACGAGACGATGTCACACCTATGTAGTCACGTGCCCCTAGTCCCGAGACACGTGTACTCATCTTGTGGACAAAACTATTGAGAGAGTTGCCGATTTTCTTCTCTCTCACTTGATTTGGATATATGCCTCTACTCCTAAGACATGTATTTCTATCTTGTGGACACCGAGTATTGTGTTTTGACAAGCAAATTTTCGAGAACTTTATTTAGGCTGCGAAAGCCTAAACATTCAGGCTGCGAAAGCCGAAACACTTTTTATCATCTTTTCAAATTGTTAAAATTATGCTAAAGTTTCAATGACATATCGACGGACTTTAGACCAAGATGACATGATTTGGAGGACATCATCCCCTTTTAATCCTATTTAAACCGATCTCTTCTAATGACATGACATCACCTAGAACATCTTTACTTGTAAAAGCGTTCTACAATTGCAAAAGATCAATCTATATTCTTTAGCGCGTTAATACATAGAAAATACTTTTTCTAGCCTTAATAGCTACTTGTTTCAAACACTTAGCGAATCAAGGATCGTTTCGACATCCATAACATTTCTTAAAGATTCTCTATTCTTCGAGAACTTTGCAGAATGAGTCTTGGATTTATTTCCTTGACTACTTGGATCGTTGTCTATTCTAGACTCGATCAAAGTGGGGGCTAACTGTAGAAACCTAATTTTGGCCTCTTGTCCCGAAAGGAAGTGCGATGATTTTATAAAAAATCTGATCTTCACGCTGGATCAAAGTTGAAGTGTTTATGAATTACGAAATGCATTATGAAGTAAGTAAAAACTCATATTTGTGACCAAGTAATCTTAGAGCCATTCCTATTACTAATTATGCTTATACATGTTAAAACTTGATTAATAATGGACCCAAATGCGACAAATACAATGAATCGATCCAATGGATCTTACATTGTTGAAAAATGAGCCAAACAGATAAAACAACAATTAAATTGCCATAAAAATTCTGTACAGATGGATAGCCCTTTCAAAGAGCTTTACAACGGTATATTATAAGCCCAATTCTGAGTTAAACAAAGAAGTTATGATCAAAACACTAAACATATTATTTGATCCAACGACCATATCTTTTGATCCATAACATATTTTAACCTAATTATAACGGAATTGGAAAGTAGACATTCAGAGATTTCTAATGATATCTCACATGCCTAAATCCGACTTTGTAATAAAAAGTTATGGAAGTTTTAAAAACGCGTTTTCGTATAAGGCAAACTGCATCCCAATGCAACTTAGTAAGTTGCGCGCGCATGGCGCGCGCGACTCAAAGAGTTGCACGCGCCACCTGGAGGCGCGACTCTAAAACTCTGAAACTAGATCCCTACGCCTATAAATAGGGGTCTTCGTTCAACATTACGAGGACAGATTAATTAGAATTCTAAACCCCTAATTCTGAAAGACCTTATATCTCTCAAACCCTCTTACTAGTTGTAGACGCCCATTTGTGTCTCCCCAAAACCAAACCCAGTGATGAATACCTTCTGCGTCAAATCATTAATTAATGAAGTGAAAGTGTTGAAATTTTAATGTTGTGGTAAGTTTTTACTAAAAATCCTTCGTTCTGTTTTCGAAAGTCTGCATTATTTTATGAAAATAGCCAATTCTATTTAGTTTGGCCCATAAAAAGGGTCTAATAATGGTGAAGTTAGATTGGGCTCGAAAAGAGCTTTCCAACGATATATTTTAAGACCAATTCCGAAGAATAATGAGGAAGTTATGGCCAAAATACTAAACTAGACCCGATTTGATTCTTATATGCGGCCCAATGATCTAGAGGAGGGCATATTATTAATTATCATTCCTAAAGCTATTATGATTGATTATAATTTTCTAGAATCTTCTAAAAGGTTCTCTTAATTAAATACTAATAGGATTAGGATTGATAATTATGTATGTGAGTTTTATTTGGAATAAAAGAAGTGTTTTATATGAAAATACGATTTTGCC